GAAATAAGTTACGTGTACAGGTTTGAATGTCTTCTGCAAACATCTAAAATTCCTCATGTGGAACAACTGAGGTTCTGGATTCCAATCGTTCTTTTGCTAAACTGAAGTTTATTGGTTAAACTCCAACCCAGCTTCCCGAAGAAAGATGCCTAGGCGAATTCACTCTGGTCATTTATCTTGCCATCTACCTCACACTTACTTTGTAAAATAAATGAGAATGAAGCAAAGAGTATTCAGAAAATTTTACGTTTAAACTCCTTAATAGTTCTATATATGACTGTGTCTTCATTCATAGAAAGTTTACATCCATAGCTCTGTATGATTATCTGCATGCAATTCTTTACACTATCAAATGATTAGGGGACTCCACGGGAGGCATCAACTCCGTTATCTACGTACGGTCTTGCAGGCAATTTGTCACTGACTTCCATGAGCTAATTCTGTGCCAGGGCAGTGACTCCTATTTACGGTCTTTACCAGTCCTCCACAAACTGCATATTCACAGCCAGGAGGTCCCATATTTGCTACACACCCTCCCCAGGTGACCAGGTATTTCCCAGGGCCATTGGCCACTGTGCAGACATAGAGCAGAACAGTGGCACCCTCCGCATGTTAAAAACAAAGCCTCAAGGCAGCTTCTCCACTGTTACCTGACAAGAGACTATTTAACAAATAAATATATGCTGCAGAAACACCCCCTAAGCTGCAAGGCTCTAGCAAAAGCACCTGTCCTTCTGAATTTTGAAAAGGCCACGTTTAAAGAAACCTTGTGTCCTTGTCTCTATCATTCCTTGTATAAAGATCAAGGAGGGAAGGGAGCAAAGGGGGAGATATTTTGCTACTTTTCCATATTACTAATACTGTAAAGTGGTGAGCAATTTTACCAGAACACCCAGTGGACGCTTTAAAAAAAAAAAAAAAAAAAAAAAAAAAAAACACAACAGAGCTTTTCTTTTGGCCGCTATGCTTCAAAAAGCAGTGTTTGTGCAGTGCTAACAATGCATATTTTCACTAGCCAAAAGAGATCAGCTAGATTCACAGATAAGACCCACAAAATGTCTATTATTAAACCTTGTAAAATACAAGGATATAGGTTCATATGTGAAAGGTCTCTAGAGAAGCTCTTGCTTAGCAATCAGGTAGCTTTACGTCATATTCTCACTTCTTCTAGATAGATGTTAAAGCCTCCATCAGTTCAAAATAACACACGCTGGACCAATACAGTGAAACTTTAAAAAGGGAGAACATATGATGTTCTTTGCGGACCCAGACCCTGCATGCATCATATCTTACTTCCAGATTGGATCATATTCAATAGCTAAACCTGAAATTAGAGTGTGGATAATTCCTGTTAAGCATGTAGCAATTGTCATTTTTAGTCCAGTAACTGCACAGCTTGCACCTATTTAAAATTTGACTTAGTTACTGTTTTAAGAAGTTATGCTCCAAGTTGAAAAAGAGCACTAATTTGTCTAATACGAGCCACTCGGACTAAGAGAAATTAAGAGGAGAAAGCAAGTGCTCAGAGGGACAATACTTTTAAGTCTGAGGGACAGCAACCTGTTATAAACAGATGGGCTGCACTGATTTCCTCTTGCTGGAGAAGTGATCCGATACTTTAATTTGCAGCTCCTGAATTCCTGCCCCCGTCACTTGTGCTCTCAGCCCCTCACAACTGACTTTTGGCCAAGCCCAGAGACATCTAACAGACCAAACCCTTGTTCTGACAGAATTTCAGCTCCTGTGCCCTGCCGTGGCACCGCTCGCAGCCCGCGTGGGCCCATGGGCACCGAGATGTTGAATAATACTCTCCAATAACACATGCTTCCTTGAAAACGTACCTTAGCTTCTACCAAACATACAGTGCTGCGCTCAACTTTAGTTTCGTACTTTTACAAGGTAAGTTTTTTACTGTATTTTCTTCTAAGGGGAGAACAAAAATTAAGAAAAGTCTGGGGGGTGAAATAATTTCTAGCAAGTCTGGAAAAAAATTACAGCGATTCGCCCTTTTAGAAGACCCAAATGAAAAATGAGAGGAAATTGTTAAGAGTGCTGCAGTTTTATGCAGCTCACTGTTAAACACGGGGTCTTTACAGCCTGCAAGTTAATGCAAAAAGCCAGATCATCAGAATGGGGAGAGAGAAAAAAAAGGCAGTTACGCTGATGGCAAAGAGATATCAACACTGTAGAGTCAACAGCAACACGCTGGTAGCTCTCTCACACTGTCAGTGGCTTGTTTACAGAACGAGTTGAAACAGGAAAAAAATCCGTTCCACTTTTTCTAATTGCTGGTTTGAGGGAGCTCCGTACAGATCACCTTGCCACTACCCACCAGGTAATTACACACCACCAGCCCTCGGCGCCCTCGTGGGAAAGCAGCCCTGCAAGCCCGGCCGGGCCCCATCCCAGCTGCGATTAACGACGTCTTAAGGGTCGGTGCCGCCTCGTGGCCGCCCCCCTGGTTCCTCTAGGAGCCCTGCTGCATCGTGAATAACCAGCCACGCTGCAAGTGTCTCCGCGTTGCTCTGCCTAGAGCCCCAGATAAAGCCAGTGGGGCCCCAGACTGCAGCACACAGATCAAGACAATAGCTCCGTCACTCTTCATCTTTGCTCCTGACATGGTGTTCCTTAACCGGCAGGACACCAGACAAAAACAAAGCAAAAACTCACAAAAGCAAGAACACAGAGAGACCTGTCGCATTTAGAACCTCTGAAGTCAGCTCAGAGCAGTAATACAACTCATGTTGAAAGAGCACTTAAATCTCCTATGCTGAACTTCTTTGCTCTATTCTTCAGCTTTCACATGGACATACCACTCTGATCTTACTCCTGTTGCAGAAATTGTAATTTTCACAAAGTAATGAAAAAAATTAAATGGAAGAATATATGCAGAAAGCAACAAGGTCATTTTTATTGTTCCAAAAACTTATTCTGTGGTAGCTGATACAGCACAAAACCGAAACTATTGCTTATTGTTACATACCAGTCACACAGGTGCTAGGTGGGGAGCTCGCATCAGCAGCGAGCAGGGTGAGGAGTGCCCTGGTGGGACACGGTCAGCAGCTTCTCCTGCTAAAAGAGCATTAACTTCTTGGTAGGAAATAAACAGAGCAGGAAAGGGGATGGTGGGGGATGAGGGGGGCGGAAGAAAAAAGAAACTGATAATCATTCCTCCAAGCCCTTTGCATTCAGTGCTGAAAGAGGGGCGAGACAGAATTTACCTCAGTTGATGCAAACAGACCACACTGAAAACAGAGAGCACGGTTAGAATAAAACCGCTTACTAACTGTACAGCCTGAAGCAGTCCCCTTTTTCTTTTTTTTTTTTTAAAAAGCACCTACAAAGCTCCTTTTAAGGGTCAACCCTGAATATCCTTTTGCTATGAACTCTGCTGCAGCTTCAAAGAGGAAGTGTGGTAACACGCGTTTTGACAATTACTCGCAGCAAATAAAACCACAGGAAGACAAAGGGGGGAAGAAAAATACTGCAGGTGCTAACACCATGCCTGCATTTAACTCGTCTTGCTGCAGAGCTCAGAGTAGCGCAGTGGGGAAAAAATACGATAAAAAGATTCTGCCTACAAGACTGTGACTAGGATTGTAACTAGTCAGTATAACCAGTCTCAAGTAGTTCATAAGAAATTTACTGATGCTCCTGGCATACAAGTATGACGCCACAGATGACAAATTTTGCTGCCTTAAACCTGCAAGCTGCAGGTTTAAACAAAAAGCAGATCAGAACGTCCGAGTCATTCTTGGCTTTCCAGAAGACCTTTTCCGCAGGTCTTCCCCTCTGCACGCGCTGTGCCCCTGTGCCCGCAGGCTCCTGCCCGGGCGGCGGGCGCAGTGCAGGGCCGCGGGCCGCCTTCGCCACGCGCACCGCAGCACATGGCTTGCAAAGGAAGTGAGAAACAGCGCGCTCTCCCACCAGCCCAATTTTGAATCTATTTTTAAAATAAGACCACTTGCACAAGCAACAGCTTAAGGCACTACCTCTAAAGACAGGTGCTTATGTGTTTTGTAACAGCAATTTAATACATGCCAAGCAGGGAAAATGGTTCCTAACTGGGCCTTGCATTTCTATGCTCAGCTTAAAACAACCTCACTGTTCCCTTTGATCCAGAAGGGGAGAGCGAAAAAAAAAAAGAAAAACAAGATTGTTTATTACCATAACCTGGACTTTGCTCTGAGCATGCTTAACACCTGAATTCCCACTATGGATTTTGCACAAATCCATGGAGCTGCTGAGCCTTTGCCAAGC